CTGTTAATGCAGTCTTACCGATTGTTAAGCGAGTCATTGACCCGTTTTTAAGTTGTAAATTAATATTCTGACCATCAAATATCACTTTATCATTTATTATATCCAAATAATTTTTAGGTGTTAATTGTTTATTTGTCGTAAACTAACACCTTTCATTTTTTGTGCAATCTTTTTAAAATCACTTCCATCAATTGAACCGTTGAATGATGTATAACACTTGGGGCATAAAGCAACCATATTATCACCTTGTTTCTCAATTGCTAAACCCAATAACTTCTTCTCATGTGCTTTTTCTTCAGCTTTATTCTTTAATTTAGGTTTAAATTTCTCATCAAAACAGAAGAAATCAAATGGTGCGAATTTGAAAATGTTTTTATCATAAAATTGTTTATCGGTAACAATTGCTTGAAATGCTTGAGTGTTAGGAAGATTTGGATCGCCAGCGATTGCCCAATAAGATGAATCAGTATCACCTTCAATGAAATGAAAACGATTAAGATTCATGCATTTATACATAAAATCATAAATGAAAACCAAATACCAGTATTTAGCATTATCTAAAGTGAAGAATGCCTCTTGTAAACATGTATCACATCTATAAAATCTATCTTTGAGCATCACTTGATACGTATCCTCTCCTATTTCTCTTATGTTTTTAAACTTATTTGACATACATGCAACGCGTGCCTTCTGTGCATTCATTATTTTAGTCTTTGCGTAATTTTGTGTATTCATTGCATCGTAACCATATGATCCATTAAGCGAAATCTTGCAAAATAAACTTTTTCCTTTATTTCCTTCTAATTCAGCCTTTTGTCTTTCGTTCATAAATTCGTTCGCAAATTCATTAAAACAAGTGTTTTTAGTAAATGTTAAAATTGATTGAATATCATCGATGATAAAATGAAATCTGTCTATTAGATACCAAAGATAATAAGAAGAAAATGGTTGATATTGGTTGTGTGTTGATGCTAACTGAGTTAATTTCCTCTGTTTCTGGTCAACTGGTAGATTGTTTGATTTCATGTAATTATACATAAAACTGCCAATTGTTTTTTCATCTGTGATAATATCTAAGTTTCTTATTATCGGTAAAAAGTTTATGTAATCATTAATGTATTTTTCATCAATGTGACCCTTTACTTCAGCCACGAATAAAGTATTTTTCTTTCTAATAATTCCCAGTGCTTTTGCTTTCTTTGTTGCTGTATCACAAATGATAACACCATTCAATCTTCCCGGCATATACATTTTATGGTCAGTATATTGAATGAAATCATGAGGATTAGATGAAAATGATGAAGGATATAATGAATTAAAATCAACACCAACGAAATGAGTCATAATGTTGGTGGTGTCCTCATTTGATACAGTTTTAGTTTCTGGACTATATGAAAGTTTATTAATGTGCGTGATTCCTTTAAGATTTACTCTATGTTGAACATTTGATAGACCACCAGTAATTCCATTACGGAGAATGTGATAAGCTTCAACTGAATCTAAAGTCATTGGTAAATTATTTTTTAATGCATAATTTCTTAAATTGATTCTTAAACGTTGAACATCTTCATCTTTATTTGATTTTACGACATTGCAATAACAACACATTAACTGACAATTTTCTTTGGTATGTGGTTTTTCATTATCGATTCTATCCAATGTTGGTTTATTTGCATATGTAAACACTTTACCACACATTTTGCATTTAGATGAAAGGATTAAATCGTGATAGTATTGAAAATCATCCATTGAAACATTATTTTTAGTATCTCTTTCTGCTTTTTCATCTTGTTTCTTATATGATTCAATTTTATATTTCCAATACTTTTTCGTTAATTCAAAACTTGATTCTATCTCTTCCTCAGGATATTTTTCATTAGGATTAAAGTCTTTATATGCTAAAGCGTAACGAATCATTGAAGCATTCGATGATAAAGAAAGATTATGAAGCGTGTCAATTTTATAAACAAATGTTTCTTCAATAATTTTATCAATTGGGTCAATCATAATTTCAACATCTTTATTGCAATAATGAATAAAATATTCTAATCTATTCTTAAAATTTTTAGCATCATTGAGATATATTTGATAATCACTATCTGATATAGTTTCTTGGGTTAATGCTGAATAAAATGAATCTTTCGTGAATGGTTCCTCTTTATATAATTCTTCTTCGTAATTCTCCCATGTGATGAATTGATAAGGGAAAAAGGATTTAACACGTGATTTATTGTTTCCGAAATCTTGAGTGAATTGGTCTAATGTCCCACCCGCTATATAATTTCTGATGTCAATAAATCTCAATTCATATGGAACGTTTGTTTTTCTTTACAATGATTTGCTTAAATTGTGAAGATGAACCCAGCATTGATTTTATTTTCCATTTTGCAGTGTTTAAATCACGAAGAATTAAATTTAAATCAAACTTTCCCGAATTAAAACCTATGATATTCACTTTATTGAATTCCTCATCTAGAAGTTCTTTAAATGCTTCCTTGTGTTTTTCATTTAATGTATGAGACAAAGTCCCCACCGTTTGCGGCTTCAATAATTCTTCATATTGTTCAATATTTGATTTAGCAACTAATGAACAGGTTGAAAATAAAAACTCAATTCAATCAGAAATAAAAGAATCACTCGAAGTTAAGCAAAAATTCCTCGTATATGTTTTATCATTTAATTTAACCGTTGATGATACCATGAATGGTTTTAAGTAAGCATTCCAAGTTGCACACTCAGAAAGTTGTAATTCTTCTTTAGTCTCTAATGTTTCAAAGTCAAAAGTAATATAATATCTTGTCGGTTTATAATATTTCTGCAAATTGTGAGCTAATAACCACTGATATATCTTCTGTTTCGTAATATGTGGTGCATATGGTTGCTGTGTCTTTTGCAACTGAACGTCTTGAATTAATCTTCCATTATTTTCTTTACATTTCTCACAATGCTTTAAAAATCTTCTTTGGTTTTTCCTTTCTGGATCATCGCGGATAGAATAAACCTCTTCTTTACAATATGGACAAACTTTATAGCCGATGAGTGCTTCAACGTCTGTTATTCTGTCAGCGTGAAGTTTTCCACATGGACTCTGTGTTAATAAAATATTTACTGTTTCAAATTCTGGATCTATCATTATTGATTCCACTAATGGAAAGTCTACCTTATTTATGTCCACGTCTTCTGGTTGAGGATCACAATAATAAAAATCAATATTAACGTTTAACATTCTTGCTAACCTCTCACTTTCTGATGAAATGTCAAATCCTTCATATGCATCTATGGCTTCATTTAAATAACTTCTCCGAGTTTTCGGATTAACACCATCAGGAATGTTATAGAAGCGTTTAAATAACCTTCTACCTTCTGCTCTAATTTGATTATCATTCATTTTAGCTGTTCCGTTTTTGTTCATTTATGTAAGAATAAAAAATTAAAAAATAAATAAAAATAAACTTTATTTTTTAAAGCCCATAAAATGAATTAAGAACACATAAATTTTTATCATCCGCGACGTGACGAATACATTTTAATTTACTCAAGAATGCGTACCCTGATACATTAAATCTAATTCCTGTCTTATTTAATTTCACAACTTTGAAAAGGAATGTATGAATAGCTATAAAATGATGAGAAGATGTTTTATGGGTTGCTTCCATTTTTTCTGAAATAAATGAATAAATATAATGCTTATAAGTTTTCATATCTTTTATGTTCTTAATAACGAATGGTATAGACCTTTCAACTTCGTCTTCCTTCGGTGCTGTTCTTTCATATGAAACATTATTAGTATCTTCAATAATGAAACCACAATCACACAAAATTTTATAGGTTCAAATGGTTTCTTTTGATATTTTATCTAATAAATCAAAAACTTTATCAACACCCGTGCATTTATTTAAATAATAATTTGTGTAAATATCATGATCTTCTTTCTTAATCGTATTAGTTGCATATGTCACGTTTTTAAGAGCTTTTTTGAATTTTTTGGAATCTAAAGGTGGTGAAAGTAGGATACAGGGGTATTCTTCATTATCAATAAATTGTAACTTATGTTTACGAATAAATTTAGTACCTTCTTCTGAAAGTGTTTCGTCTATTTCACCATCTAATAAATTTTGTGTTGATTCTGAGACATAATTTTTATATCTTTCTTCATGAGATTTCTGTACTTCTGATTCTGAAGCTGGGATATTCATTAAACCCTCTACTTCATTTTCATTATATTTTTCAACTTCTCTTAATTCCTTAATTTTTTCATCTATTTCATCTCTTATTTTTTCCAGTCTTTCAATTTCATTGTATTCATCATCTTTAATCCGTTCTTCATAATATTCGGGAAAAACATCAGGTTCTTTAGGTTTTTCTTCTTCAGATGTGGGATATAAGAAATTTATAACATCATCTTTATTCATTTTTCCATCATAATCTAAATCATTTAATAACACGGCAAATTTTTGACAATTTCTTAAATAATATTTATCAACTTCATAACCCACCCCCTCTAATATATCCTTTATTTCCCCGTTTGTGAATCCTAATTTTTTAACGTTGTTAGTTTTGACGCTCATTTCATACAAAATAAAAAAATAAAATAATAAACATAACTAAGTTTTAATTTTTCGTAAGACATGAATTTTTAAAGTTTATTTTTTAAAAAAATTTTATTTTTTATTTCATTATGTATGGGCTGAGTGTAAATGTCTTACAATTTTGAAAATTTTTTAAATCTTGATTTATTCAAAAATGTAAGAATAAAAACAGTAAGAATCATACATTTTTTACTTCATATGTTAAAAAAATGATACAAAATCGCTCGATATTGTATGAATTCTTACGTTTACAAAAAAAGTCACAAAACCCGTCAACATATACTACTATTAGATCATTTGATAGTTCCAGATGTGTATAGAAAAATTTAGCTGTACTAATTGGATATGCATTGTAATTAATAAGAATGAAGTAAAAATATCATCTTTATAAATTGTACGTTTACAAAGAAAATGAATGAGATCGTTTCCGCGATGGAAAAAGATCTCCGGGATGTTGATAATCTCGCGAAATATTTAGATCAACTGCTAAGAGCTGCGGAAACAGAAAAAAACGTAGATCATTTTCAAAATGCACTCAATTGTGTTAATAATTCTGTAAAAATCAATCAAAAAGTAAATACATATGATCAAGCAGTCATAAATTTCTATCATCAATTAGTTTCTATGAAATCTTGTCAAAGACTTGTAAATTCAGTTCCAATTCATTCGTTTTTAACAAATTTATTAATTTCGTGCCGAGATAGACCACGAGAATCGTCAGATATACTATCAGTAATTGGAATTACAATAGATGATCCAAGAGTTTGCCCATATTATTCAAATTCTCAATTTATTTCGCAATTAGTTTATATAGCACGCTTAAATTCGAAGCAATACAAGATTGTCAAAAAGGTCTGCAAAATTACACAATATTTAGATCCAAGACTTGGAGCAGAATATAAAGATCTTTGCACAGTCATTGTTTTGATTTCAAGATCGCTTAATCCGCAAGATCCAAAACAATTATCATTCATGTCAGCATTTGCTCAAGTTTCTAACGAAAAAGTTTTACTTGAAGTCGGAAATATCGCAATTCCACTTTTTACCGAAATTTGCATGAAACAACCTTCGAATTTCAAAATCTGCAAATGCTTATTTACAATTGCATCGAAATGTCAACCAGATCAGTTCGATAAACAAATAATTCAATTAATTGATTACCAATCCAAACAAATCAGAGATGATCCATCAACACTATCTTCAGCAATAAGTATATTAAGCAGTAAAGTAAATCCGCATGAAATGCCTGCTTTTGTTGTTCCAATTTCTTATTCTGCTTTACAAATTTTCTTTTCAGACAAAAAAGTCATTGAAGATTCATTGACAGTTTGTTTCCGAGGATTAACAGCTACAAATCAGAATAACCATGTCTCAACTAGTATTCCTGCTATCATCACTTCTATAATGTCTCAATATATCCATGAGAAAGGAATTGTTAGAAGATGTGCTGCAATTTTGCACACTTTAAGTGCTGATCCAGAAAATGATAATGCATTAATTTTCTCTGCTGCCGCTCAATCACTTGTTCAAGCTATTAGCTCAAACACAGATGACCAGCACACAATAGTTTTATGTACATCATCATTAAACAATGTCATTTTAGAAAATAGAACTTTGGCAACTCAAATTTCGACTCCTGAAAATATCCAATTATTCCAAAATTTGGCTAAAAGTTATCCAAAGAATGCAAAGATTATCAAGCATATTGTTATGATTGTTCAATCTATAATTTTGGCACAATATGAAATGATTCAATTCATTGATCTTCCAAAGGATACAAAGAAGAGATATCAAATTGATTCGAAATATATAATTCCTTCACTAAAAAGTGATAGTGATGATGATGTTTTTGTTAAAGCAAGTTTACTTGTTATGTCTCCAAGAACACAAATAACAGATACTATTTCTTCTTTGATGATGAAATTCTCAAGTGATTATGATATTGTTATTGAATGTTTATCATTAGGAATCAAAGATATTGGAATAATTAACCGAGCTTTAATAACAACAGGAGAAGATGGTTTTAGATTTGTTGCAGAGACATTACAACAAACAGAAGAAGCAATCCCGATGCAAACTATTTCTCTTTTGCTTTCATTGGATAATCCTGATGCTGTTTCAATTCTTTTGCATCAGTTAGAGTGCGGAAATGATTCAGTAATTGCAAGTCAGTTTTCACTTCAGTTTAATTCACAAACAGTATTGGCAAAGAAACTTTTGGAACGTGGTTTGTGGTTGCCAGGTGAAGATTCTGTAAATATTGTTTTAGATAGTCTTTGCTTTGCAAGAAATGATGCAAACTTAGTTGCTGATGTTTTAGATTTATGTGCAATTATTGGTTTGACAAGACAAATGTTTCCAATTCTTTTAGATTTAATTGGAAGACATCCATCATGTCCTGATGTTGTTGAAACATGTATTAAGTTTGCTTTGAGATTCCCTGTTGACCAAGAAACAGGCCGCGTTTGCAAAGATTATAACTCAATTATTAATGTTTCAACAGCTCTCTCAAAGATGGATAAAAACGAGAAAATTTCATATTTATTATTAACTTTTCTTGATATTGTTGCACCATCAAATGATTTGGCATCTCAATTCTCAGAACCAATGGTTTTATCAGCGATTGCTAAAGCTGCTCAATTATCAGATCGTTGTGCAGTTGAAGCAAGTAGAATTTTCTCTAATTTGTCACAAAGTCAAATCACAGTTGATATCCTTTCAAAACTTGGAGCATTGGATATTGCTTTCAAGAGTTTTGGACCTGGATCATATCTATTAGTTCATAATTTAGTATCGAAAGGTTGCAAATTGAACAATGAACAGATTGATTTAATCATGAATGAGTTTGATGATCATGCTTCTTCGTATATGCCTGAAACTGCATTTTCTCTTTTAGAATTAATGCTTGATTTGATCGAAACTGAAGATAAACTATCAAGATTGCCGAGTAAGAAATCATTATGTCAAGTTTTCTCAACATTTTCAACTAATCCAAATGTTGTTGAAATGGCTGCTCGTGTTGCTTTTTATTTGAAACTTGAAAACGATGACGATGAAATTGTTTTTGCTTTGTCAAATGCTCTTAAAGCAAATGCAAATGTTTTCAGAGCTGTTTTCGCTATAGTTAATGTTTATTCGACAGTTAATCGCATGGATGTTCCAAGTTTAGATTCTCCTTCTGTTGTACAAGGTTTAGTTGATGTTGCTGAAATTTATCAAGGGGATTCTGCAATTGTTGTTCCAATTCTAACGATTTTACGTGGAAGAAAAGAAGCTGTTAAAGTTGCATGCCAATGTTTGAATCATTTCAAAGGTGAAGAAGATATTGCTGCAACAGCACAGTATTTGTTGTCATGTGGTCAATGTGATTACACAAAGTATATCCAAGATATTATCAACACAATCGCATCTCATCAAAATTCATTTGATATTGTTACTTGTTTGGCTCCTGTTATTTATTTCGCTGCTGAAAACGAAAAGATACATAAGCATATCATTGCTGCATTGCCAGTCTTATTAGATGCAACATCTCGTTTTGTTTCAAGTAACAGATTATCAAGAGCTATTCCAGCTATTGTTTATAAATTATCTGAGAATTTAGATATGATTCCGAAGCTTGAAGATGCTCCTCCAAAGATAGCTACAATTCTCAAAGCATGGCCTAATGATCCACAAATAAATCAAGCTACATCAGGTATTATTGTTAATTTTGCAAGTGCTGGATGTGCTGAATTATTTAGATGTTGTCTTCCAATGATTTTGCAGCGCTTGGACAAATATGAATTAATTGAAACAACTTGTGAATCTGTTCAAGCAATGGCAAGTGTTTGTGGAGCTTATGCACCTGTAATCACTGATAAACTCTTCAATATTCTTGTAACAGCTTTATCAGAAAATCATGATAAAGATGAAGAAGAGGATGAAGAAAATGCTAAACTTCAAAATACTGTTTCTGAAACATTACAACATTTAGCAAAGAATGACAATGTTGAAGGCTGTGTTTATGCAAAGCTTAAAGATGTTTTCGAAATCCTTAAAACCGATGCTGCAGATGATTTGAAGATCAACATGATCAACTTCTGTATGAATCTTCATAGTGTTAGACGCATTGATGACTTCAAACCATTCATGGAAGACTTAATGAAAATCCTTGAAGGACCAAAATTGAAAGTTGCAACTGCTGCTGGACAATTAATGCTACAAATTGCTCGTCTAAAGCCAGACTTAGTTGATCCATTCTTAAATAGAGTAATGGCTGTTGGAAAGGTATCAAGTGGCGATCAACTTCGTGTTTGCATTGCAATCAAAGATCAAATCTTCGGAATTAAGAAGGCATAAGATTGTTTATTTATTTGTTGTTTTATAAAATGTTTATTTATCATTTCAATTTGTTCGGCATTTTTTTCGAAGTTCGATTTTTAATTTTAAACGTGCACTTTTGATTAAAATGGAGGAAATTATGAAAAACATGAAGAAATCCATGGAGGATTGCTCATGGAAATCTGTCATGTTCTATGCTGATATGATTCTTCAATCGAAAAAAGATTGTTATGAAGCAGTTTTTTGCAGATTATACGCATTGTATGCCATGGGAAACTTTAGAGAGCTTGAGCAATGGGCAGAAAGCCTTCCCAAGCAATATATTGCAGATGAACAACTTTTAATTATCCGCTGCAAAGCTTTATTAGAAAATAAAGATTATTCAAAGATTATTACATTATTGGCAGCTGATGCTGTTGCTGATGAAATCATTTTACCAATAATAGTACCTAAAGAAGTTGTTGAAAGCTCGAAAATGCTTAAATATTTCAGAGATACTGCTTTATTTAACAGCGGACGCACAGAAACACCACCAACCACTACTGAACAGAAATCTAAAGCATCACCAAACGATCATTTGCATCCAGAAGCTATCACAAATTCGATTATTCGCGCAATGATGAACAAAGATCCTACAATTCTGCATAAATATACATTATTATCAGATTCTCGCAGTGAAAATGATGCATATATTGTTACAGCATGCGGTTGCTACAGAATATTATGCGAAGAACGTGAAAGTGGTCACGCATTACTTGTTAAAGCCACAACTATTGATCAATCATGTGAAATAGCATGGTTATGCCTTATTTATTCATTCATGCAAGCAGAAGAATGGAACGAAGCCATATCAACCCTCAAAATTGTCCACAACAGATATCCGAATTCAAAAAGTGTTGCAATGTTTGCAATGTCAATCCATCTCAAGGCAGATTCACCATCATTGGCTCTCCCGTGGATCGAAATGGTTGGTGAGATCAATGACTTCGTAAAGCATGAACACGCAGTGCTAACAATGCTTGAAGGATTCCATTCAGCAGCTCTCAAAGTTTTCGTGAATATTGAAGAAAATTCTGAAGAAAGAGATCTCAAAGCAAGTTCAGCAATAAATGCTGGACACTGCCAGAGATTGATGAAGAACTATGAGGAAGCTTTGAATCAGTATAACAGAGCTATTTCATATGGAGCTCCAATGCAGGAAGCTTTGGCATCAATTGGTTTCACCCATCATTTGATGGGAAATATTGATGACGCGATTTTGTACTATAACAAGTCATTGGCTGTAGATCCGGTTCATCCATTCGCAACAAAGATGCTTGATATTGCTCTGAAGAGTGCTGCTAAGAGATTATAAGATTTTTCTATTTTGTTTTTTTCCAAAAAATATGTAAATTATAATATTACTAATTATATCAATATTTAAACGCGTACAAAGATTATATTGCTACATCAAAATATGAATATAATAGAAATAAATGGAATAACTGAATTACAGCGAGTAAATTGGTTCCATATAGAACGAAAATGAATATTTTTGAATATAAACTTGATTAATGAGATATCTGAATACAGACTCATTTATTTCCAGATAATAAACTAGAACTGTAGCAATATTTACATCAGAAATGGAAACATCTCATTTTAAAATGCGTTATTTTAATGAAAATTGAAATAATATATGACATACATCAGTTTAATCATATAGAAACGATTCAATTCATTACAATGATATATTTCATATAATTGTTTTCAGAAAAAAAGAAAAGAAAATTCACTATAAGTTAACCTTTACTTAGCAGCTGGCTTCTGGCATTCATTGCCATAGTTGCTCTCCTTAGCACGGATGAGTGCGTAGATTGTGTGTGTGTATGGAAGCTCAACTTTATGCTTCTCAGCGAGCTTGAGAAGGACACCAGCTGTGGCCTCGATTTCTGTCTTGCGCTGGTTGAAAACATCCTGGTTCATTGAACCCTGGTGCTTCGGGCATTCTTCAAGAGCGAGTTTCTTGACGGCCTCAACAGCGATTTCCTTGTTGAAGAACTTTGTGTCGACGCCTTCTAATTCAGCGATTTGGGCGCATTCTTCACCTAATTTCTCAAGAACCTTCTGGAGTGGTTCGCAGTTCCAGCATGTGCTGAAGTCGAGGTTAACGACTGCAGAAACAGCGATGTTGGCTGGGTAGTAGAGGAGCATCTTCCAGCGATCTGGGATAGCGAGGTTTGTGAGCTCGAATGGGAGTCCGGAGGCGTTGACAGCCTTGACAACTTCCTGGACACGTTCAACTGGTGTAGCATCCTTAGCGCAACCGAGTGGCCAGATTGTTGTGTTGGCAATCTTGAACTTCTGGATTGTCATCATTCTTGGTGGGCAGCCAGATGATGAGCAAGCTGTCTTGCCGAAGAGGATGAGGTCCTTGTTCTCGTGGTACTTGGCAATAACGTCTGCGTTATCGAAACCACCCTGGAGTGTAAGGATAACTGTGTTCTTGCCGATCATCTTGCGAGCCTTGATCTTCTGGAGGGTAGCATCTGTATCTGAAGACTTAACGGTTATGATGATAAGGTCCTTCTCCTCTTCTGGAGCTTCCTCGAATGGGAATACCTTAACATCGTAGTCCTTCTCCTTGCCATCTTCAAGGATTCTGTGGGCAACTGGTGTCTTCTTCATTTCTTCGAGTAATTTTGGCCAGGCATCGAAGAAAACGACATCATTGCCGCCTTCAAGGAGTGTTGTACCGAAGAGGGTACCCATGGCGCCGGCACCAGCAATAGCAACTTTGAGAGTAGCGTGTTCCTCAGACATTTCGAAAGTGAAATGACTGTATTTAAATACAAATTTTCAAGGAAAACGATGAACTTTTTTTCTCAAAAATCGAAAATGGCCATTACCTACTTAGCAGTATTATATGAAATATTAGCGTTTTAAATACATCAAACTAGTTTCATCCAAATAGACCAAACTGAGTCAATACATTGATTTTTATATTAGGATTATTTTTTATGAAACAAACTTCACAACTGTTCGTAGGCAAACCCAAATTTTAGCTAAAAGTGACAGGGGAAAAAAACGTTTAGTATTAAAAAAAAAGACCGATGAGAGCTTCGTTCGAAATATAGAGGGAACTGAGAATGCGCAACCATTCTCAGGGAATATTGGATGCTATTCCCGTTCCCTCTGTATGGAAAATTGAGGTTTTCAAAGGGAGTTAAAATAATATCAAATTTATACTAATTTACTTCAAAATACAAAAGTATTTGACAGCTAAAATTAGTTACTTTAGCAAGCCTATCAATACCCTTTTACGATTATTGCTACTTTTTCGAAATAAAAGTAAAAACAAATTTATACTAATTTACTTCAAAATACAAAAGTATTTGACAGCTAAAATTAGTTACTTTAGCAAGCCTATCAATACCCTTTTACGATTATTGCTACTTTTTCGAAATAAAATAAATTTATTATCAAAAACCTTTTTTTTCTTAGTAAAAATAAAAATGTTATTTTATATCAAGTTTTTATTCATAAATTTTTATAATGTTGTATAAATTTCATTAAAATTTACGTACATATTAAGGTACTTATCTTCTACATATATAATCTTCATTAGATATATACATGATAAATAAAATTCATAAAAGAGAGAGGGTCAAAGTTGCTATTTGTCACTTTTCCACAAGAATATAATGGGGGAAAAGTTATCATATAGTTGATCTCATTCACTGAGGTGAGAGATGCATGTAGTGTAATTTGATAAACAGTGGGATTGCTGCTCTAAGTCCTAGGTTCGAGACACATTGGCTTCATTTTTCTCTTTTTTATTGACGTAAACTATTCAATTTTTGTGTTCTCCATTCAAATTTCAGAATTTTTTTTGCAGATTTCACGCTACATTCGAAGTTACCTTTTGTAACAACCACCACTGCCTACGAAAGACGAAAGTGTGTCACGATTTCACCCGGAAATCCGACGGTTGTTTAAGAGTATGCACTTTTGTCACCTACTCATTCATAAAACATTAAAAATCAAAAAATTAGATGAACCTTGGCAATTAAACTTTATTAAATAATAGTTGTTTATAAATTATATTATATTATTATTTAATATTATTTTGATAATGAAGATTTTATTTTGCAATAATATAAACGAAATTTTTTACCTTATGAACTTTTGATGGAAATATGCAAATTTAAAATAATAAAGAAAGCCGCGAGGGAAGCGATCGGCTTAGTTCGAAGATTTTGATTCAAATCTTTGCTAATCTGTAATTCGCGGAAGCCGCGAGCGAATCGAGCGGCTTAGGTCTAAGATTTTGATTCAAATCTTTGCTTATATTCCTTAAATTCTTTATGAAACTCGCAACAGTTCCATAAAAAATTTTAAATTCTAAACTGTCGAAATTACCGATCGGTAATCACACCCTTCACGGGTGTGTCACTTTTTACAAGCGTGTCACTTTTAGCTAAAATTACCCCTACTCACTGTTCGTAAGTAAGATGAAGTGATGTATTTTGATACGAATAATAATTGTTTTGTGGACTTTATAGCTTTATTGAGAGAATACCATGCAATCATGACAATGAAAAATGTTCCCATCCGTGCAATGATCGGTATTGTAGCTTCAATCTTTAAAAACATTGAACGTCCACTATAATTGAAAATTTTTTCTTTCAATTTATCAAATATCGTCCTAATTACCAAGTATAGTATCATGTCGTTGATTCAGTTTGAGCTTTTTCAAGAAAAAAAGTCGAACGTTTTCCAAATATTCCTAATATTGCTTTTGAAGTTCATTATTTGCATTTCACATTTTAAAATAGTGATAAAAAGTCAAATTCTGCTATAAACAGTTGAAATGAAATAGAAATTGAAAATATTTTCATTTTTATGATCATTTTAGCTATATGATCAATACGAATGATGCGTATTATTTTGAAATATCTTATTATTTCTTCTGAAAAGCATTGAATCAAGGAAAATTCGGATCAAATTAGGAGAATCTCAAAAAATAGTAAGATAAAACAACAAGAAACTTTATTATTACTCTATAAGTTAAATAAACAACATAATATAAAAGTTATTCATCCTCGCTTAAGTACATTTGGTTGATATAAGCAGCCAACTGGATGAATTGTGGTATTTTGTACGAGGATAGTATTTTATATAAACTCTCGATGACTTCTCTTGGTATATCTGGTAGAAATCTCATATCAATAATAATTCTTTTGATAATTTTGAATCCAAGGGCCAGCTCTTTCATATTTATGCATTGTATTGCGAATTCTATGATAGATGAGACGAATTCTTGATCCATTTGAGCTGATTCTTCAACGAAAAACTCAGATGAAATAAATTCATTGTATTGTTTGAAAATTGCAATAACTAACTCTTGTGGAGCTGTTGTTATCAATTGTGGGAACAAATACAATGCATTCAGCCTGACATTTTTGTCAGAATCATATGAAATCAATTGTAAAATTTTGAGGGGAATTTGATCGTACTTAAAAATATTTTCATGGAATATCAAAAATAATTGGAAATAACTTATGATAGCAAATTTCTCTGCTTCACTTTCTTCGCTGTCCAGCATCTGCGCAATTGTATTAAGAATCGTTTCTACGTCAAACTTTGACGAATCTACGTAATAAAGATACGAAATTGCAGTTAATGCAGCAAATGCGCCGTTTTGAAGCCATTCAGAGAACAACGCGTAGAGATCATTGTAGTTATCTTGTACGGAAGTATTAATCTCTGGTAAAATGTATGGAATACATGTCAAAATCGTTTCTGCGATTTGGATATCACAATCTTGAAGAATTTTGAGGATAGATTCGAACAAAAGCAGGATTGATTCATCCTGGAGTTGATTGTGCTCTTGTAGGAACCTTCTAAACATCAAAGCAACCATTTTCTGAGTTTTTATATCAAATTCATTAATTTTTTCTGCCAAAATTGAGAAAATCTCGTAGCTACTGAAATCCTGGCAATCAGTGATCTTTGCTATGCATACCATAGCTTTCTCACCGTATATTTCTGAGTGAGATAATTCAAATAATGTTTCTATGTCAGATAAGAAATTTTCGCAGCTTTGGTTAGATTCTACTAATAATGCATATCCCGTTAATGCATAAAAAACTACATTTGAATTTTCATCCCCTGAAAACATTGTCACTTTTTCGTAAACTTCAGAAAATAATTTTTCAGGAATTTGTTTGATTTGTGTACAAATAATTACTAAGCATTTTGCAGCTGCAATACGATTATTAACATCTGTAGACTGTTCGTATTCATCTACCTTATTCACAAGTAGTGGGTATATCTGTTCGAAGTATTTTTCGGCCAAATCTCGAAGAATATGATGAGGAAGAGTCGAAACATCGTATTCATCGTCTTTCGGATTATCTATTTCCTCTTTAGATAACAATGAAATGAGGATTTCGCAGATTTGTTTGACATTTTCCGATAAAAATGTCAAATCTTTTAATTTCAAATCATTTTGGACGATTGCTCCAAGAGTATACAAGGAATGGAAGAGTTCATTGTCATTTATGTCTGTTGACGTCAAATCAGAAACAATCTGATTGAAAATTGGAAAAATAAAATTAATTTTTTTCGGATTTAAAACTAAAAATTGTTCTGAGAACTCCAAAACATATTTTTTGAATGTTGTGTTCGATACCAAACTCAGTATTGCATCTATAAAGTTCTTTTGTTCTTCATCTGTTTGAAATAACACAAAAACTGACATTGGATCTTCAGAAAAGAGTTGAATTGTGTGGATAACGATATCTTCATCGTTTGATGTGATGTAGTTAATTACTTGGCCAAATAAAATCTGAGTTAATTCATCATTTAAAGGAACATGAGGACAGAAGCTGCGGATGAAGTCGAGTGATGATAGAACTGTTTGCTTGTTGTCACTTGTAAGAAAAGAAATGATCATATTGATGAAAATTTGATCATATAAAACTTTTTCATCAAATGTAATGATTTTTGAGAGTAAATTAACGGCAACTGAACGTACTTCGTCATTTTCGCATGAAAACAAGTTGAATATAATTGGAATCATTGTGTTTTCAAAAGATTTTACATCAAATTGAATATTTCTTTTAAATAATTGCTCGAAAGAATGGGTCAAGTATATCAAAAGTAAGAACTGAATCTTGTCTTGGTTGTTATGCTCTCTTAATATGTCTACAATTTGAAATGTGATTTCAATTGGCTGTTTTTGAGATAATTCGACCAGCATTCTCTGTGATTGATCAAACTCTTCGCAATTAGGATCACTTGCCTTGATGAATATGCTTAAAAGTTCATCCATTTGAAGAGTTTTTGAAAAAGTTTTTGGTGGTGAAAAAAAATTCGACTAAAAGGTGAACTTCCTCCTTAGAGAAAGTTAATTAAATTTGCTTTTCAGATCCAGCAGTTCTAACATCAGTTCGCATTAGTGAGATCACTCGGAAATATTTATGTCTTTGGTCTAATAATTTTGAATAATTTGAAATGTGAATATTTCATATGTGTTCTATAACATAAATGAGCTTTAAAGTGTCTATACTGGTCATAACTAGTGGTGCTATATGGGTCTAGCATATGAAATTTTTTAAAAAATGAATATTGAATTTAATTTTTTTACAAAGAACAATCAACATATATAAATTAATAAAAGATCAGTAATTATTTCTTTTCCATTTCGTTACTGAAGAGGTTCATGTCATCATTTAACAATAATCTTGGTCTTGTCTCATGAGGAGCTTCAGAAGCCTTCGGATGGATATCAACAAGCTTTGCCTTTGATGTCTTGAACGTTTTAATGGCCGGTGAAGTGTCAACGGACTTAATTTTCTTTGCATTGCTTCTCCTTCTTTTTTCTTGCTTCGCAACAGTGACTTCTTGGTCTGGCCAGAATGCTTTGATTATTTCCATTGACTGGCTCCTCTGTTCTTCGAGGTTTCCGCGTTCTTCGAGGTCATCTTGCAAACATTGATGAATAAATACGTCAACGAACTGTGTTTGGCTGATAACCGCTGGGAAATCTTCCGAAAGATTCTCTTTGTAACGTGTAAAACCAGCAGCAAGGTCGTTTGGAGAAGAAATTGGATATCCATAGGCCGTGGAGAAGATTTGGATCATAAATTCACGAACAAGGACTTGTATGTACATCATTGGGAATATTGGTTTATATTTAGCGATCTGTTCTCTGATTTTGTTCGAATAAATATCAATTAAATCCAAAATTTCGGCTGGAAAGTCATCCATACCGATGACAACAGAATAGTGGCAATCAACATTCATAACAAAGTACTTTTCAACTGATTCCTCAAGTAGTTTTGAGGCCATAATTGAATGAACACCAATTAAGTAGCCGAAAGGAGCTTCTAAAGCGGTAAGTGCAACACTTGGAAGCAAAGGAATGAATGTTCCCTGCCATCTAAGTGGATAAAGTAAAGCTAAGATCGAAAATACAGTTTGGCCAAGTAATTCGATGTTGGAAGACAAAATTATGATACGAGCATCAAGCATTGTAGCAACTATTGATGCTAAGATGTCGTTTACTGCAAATCTAGAATATAAAAACGTTTGTAATTTCATAATCTCGTTTTCTGGGCTTAAATGATCAAAGTTTTGGAGTTCAAGGCCTGCTTTGATAGTAAATGACCAGTCGTACGGTCTTCTGATAAGCTGAAGATGAAGTATATTATTTAAAAATGATTCTGCATCAGATTTCGATTTTGAATAGTAGCTTGCAACACTTTGAACAATTTCACAGAATAACGATGGGTGGAAGTATCTTGAAACTAACGTAAAAGCACTACGAACTAAGTTTTCTTCTCTAGAATGAACGAAACAGTACGAATATTGTTTCTTTTCATCTGTAAATGCAAAATAGTATGTCTGTGTTTCTGATGCTGGTAATGGAGTATCTTTATATGGAAAACAGAAGTTTCCCAGTTGTTTATTTAAATCATCGGCAACTTTTTGAGATTTTTGATAAATAGAATCAAAATTATATCCGCCGTTGCCATCTTGTGTAACTCGAACCACATAATCGAAGTAATTTGGATCATTTGCGGCGAAAAAATTGAACATTTGTTTTTTATGAAATTTATTTTTGTCATTTTATTTTACGTGTCAAAAAATATTTTTCTTTACAGATGGATAAAATTTTTTTTCATCAATGTGAATCAAGAAATGGATAAAAGCCTAGTGAGAAAGATTATTAATGAAGGATAAATGGCGTTTGAAAACGAATTTCACAATTTTCATTCAATAAATTTGCTTTAAAGATTACGAAAATAGTAAATATATGTCAACTATAATAAAAACAAACAATTTTTAATATCCAACAAACAAAAATACAAAATATTCAGAAATATTTCCTGAAAATATCAACTAAAATTTGAATCAATGAAATCTAGCCAATAAAAATGGTTGAATTGGCCTTGATAATGCTATTCAAACAGAAAGTTCTCTTAAAAAATCTAAAAATACAATAAATTAAATAAAAACTAATTAAAGTAAAGATTCCTTATCGAGACCCTTTTGGAGCAACTCAATATGAAGTCCTTTCATAATCTCAGAATGTTGATAAATAGATTCTTCGATTTTTTCGTCAATTTTCTTTGTTGCTTCTTCAGCATCACGAATAAGAATGCGCAAGTAGTCTGTTTGTCTTTTTGGCTGGCTTCCTGCAAGTTTTGTCTCGATTTCTTTCTGATCTTTGAGATTTTCAACTTTAAGGCGTAATTTCTCATTGGCTTTCCTAAACTTAGCCAGTTTTTCTTTAAGCTCGTCAATTATAATGATTTGTTGTTGAAAAATCTCAGGACCGTCTGTTCTTTGCAGTTCTTCCCATTCTGCTTTCTTCGCATTGATTTCCATCTGCTTTTCTAACTGAAGATCCTTTAATCGTTCTTTTTCTTCAAAGATTAATCGAATGCTTTCTTTTAATTCGTAAATTTGCGCTGCTTTATCTGACATTAGCAATTCATTCATCGTTGCACGTTGTTGAATCAATTGTTGTTCAATTGCTCGGTATTCAAACTCTCCTCTAGTTAAAAAACGAGGATTTTCTTTGTCAGTTCGCTCTTTTATTTTATTTTGCATTTCTAAACGAGATATTCTTGCTTTTAGCTTTGCTGCTTCTTGTGATAAACGATGTTTTTCTGCAATTAAACGGTTTACATCTTCCTGAGTTATATCATTTTTAACTTCAATGACAGAACTCGTTTCTGACCTAATAGGAGAAGATTGGATTGGAGCGGAATTCACAAGAATTGATCTTGTGAGCCCTATTCGACTCATGAATTTTCACAACGTATTGTCACTTTTTGGTCATAAATTTTAAACAATCAAAATAAATGTTTTTGACGTGTATGAGATCATATAATTGTAATTATTCTCAATTATCAAAAGTGTCACTCTTTTTCAAATTTTTTCATGTTTACTGGGTGAAAGAAAAGTGTATGATGCTAGCATTGCACTTATTCATTAGTATTAGAGTAAAGGTGTTTATTGATGAAATGGTACTGAAAAGTTTTGTCAGTTTGGATTTGTTGATGCTAATTTCAGCTCATATTAACACTATGGATGATGTTTTCTTGATCACTAAATTTTGTTTATGATTCTGACTCTTACTCATTTAAAACAAAAAAAAATCCAATTATGATTCTCAAGATTAAAAAAAAATTTTGTTGTTGTCGACTTTTCAATTGTAATGGAAAAACCAGTTTTTTATGCTAAAAATGGCAATTCAGTACATTGTCTCTGCTTCATCCGATCAATGAAACGGAATTGCATTATTATTATGAAAAATCAATTTTTTATTTTATTTTTCTTAATCATGATATTAATTAGAAAGCATCAAATCCAAACAGATGTATTTCAATGAATCTATACATGATTTTGCAATTTTTTGTGTCGAACAAAATTGATATGCTTTATATCCAATTTTTAAAAAGGCAATCATTATTTGAGTTATATTGATACTACATAGCAGTTCATTGTTTCAATATCCTAAGATAATTATCTAGAAGTATCGTTTTTAGGAAGAGACTTTGAGTGAATGTTTGATATATCAATAAACTAATTAAGGAAGCATAGACTGTGTAATTATTTCGCACAGAAATGATTTTATTTCATTCTCTAGAAAGGGATTAATTTATATTGATTAAATCATACTAATGGTGTAAGCGCATGTCATGTTTATTTAGAAATGTTTATATTTCAACTCCACAAGGAATTTTTCTTTAGCGTTGTATAAATATCAATGTAAAAATTAGAGATGGAGAAATCTTTCTTCACATTGTTGCATTGAATGACATTAGTTCTTCAAGCTTTTTCATTAGAGTAGACGTTAGTTTTTCTTTCATCTTTTACTGGGAAATTTTATATATGTTGTACAATATAATATTTTTTTTCTAGATTTTTTAATTGTTGAGATGTTTACTGGCCTTTGATTTTGGGATCATTTATGAATATTCATATCTCAATTGAATCAATGTAGAATGTTTCCTATTGAAAAATTTGTATGCACTCCTAAATTGAGTAGTCAAAAAAGTGTGAAAAATTTGACTACATGTCAAAAAATGAAATGAAATTGAAAAGTTTACTTTGTTTGAAATATTTTCTGAATTAATCATGACACATAAGTTTTAATATCTGCAGAAATATTGAGATTTGTCGATCTGTAAAGTAAATTACACAAAAAAAATTGGCAGCGAATAATAAGGATAGGATTTGACATAACATTCGACTTTTGCAAAAATGCTGATCATGTTTTTTGTAAAGTATCTTTGGTTGTTGTATAGAGCATTAGATGAAGCGAAGTTTTGTCATCACGATTGATTCTGAAAGTTTAATTTAACAATAACTTCTTTATTTCATAAAAATATATAAATGTCAATGCATTGTATGATATATTACTATACGAATTCATAAAATGCATTGTATTTGTTTTTGTAAATAACAAAGCCAAAAAGAAAAAAAAAATCAAATAATTATTCTAACATGCGAAATATTGGCAAATGCGTATTTAAATGGTAATGGTCGAAAATTCCATTATAGAATTTGAATCATCGCCAGATATATGACCAAAATCGAAATCTTGACAATCCATATCAATAAAATCAGTAACATTAGTTAGATCAAAAGACAACTCTGTTTCTGATGGAATATCTATGATTGCGGTGCGAGAAAATTGAGCATCTTCTTCTGTTTCTGATAAAACTTTGCTTAAATCTTTCATTAAAGGAATGGGAAAGATGCCTTTTTCTGTATGTGATTTTTCTAAAAAAGAATTACGGGCTGCTATCATTTCAAATTGAGAACGTGGGTATTTCTTTTTTAAAGGTGGAAGAACTCCTCTTGTGTTACAGTAGTATACTTCAGGCTTTTTGCCATTAAAATCCCATGTAATACTTCTCATTATTCGTTTGGTTTTCATTAATGATGGTTTCTCAATTTGTGAGGTGATCACTCCTTTGAAAGAAACTTTTGAAAACGAAGAAAATGAAGAGAATAGTATGATAATTTATTGTTTATTTCTGGCATGTTATGAAGAAATAATAATTGAATCAGCCAACGCTTTTGATTTTGAATAGTTAGATGGAAAGTAATTGAATATAAAAACGGCTTACTCTTTTTCATTGTAAATATATCGTATTCAAAGTTAAAACTATCTAAGTTTTAAAAAGTCAAAAGTTAATTATAGAAATAAATAATTTAAAACCATATTGAGTAGACAAAATATATTAACAGTTTCTCACAAATTCATTTTGTTTCCCTAAGTCAAAAAAAAAATTCTTCATTTGCCTATTTGTATAGTTTACATTTGTCAATATAGAATAAACAAATTACAGACCATTTCGAGGAAAGCTAAACAACATCATAAAGTTAAGGTTAAGAAATTAAAAATTGTCAACATTTTGGTATTTGATTCGTTTTGCTGCAAGATTAAAATTATTTGATATTCTGAAAAATCATTATTAAATGATTCTTTATTGTGTATAAGATTTACACTTTCCAATCTTTTATAAAAAAGCATTGAAGTTTAAAAGAATTTATTAAATTATAAAACAAAACAATGAATTTTAATCAAACGAAACTCTTTATCGGATTTAATTTTAAATTTTAATATTTTGCGAGAAAAGAATTTTGCTCAAATTTACATAAAAAAAAGATAAGATTAATACTTAAAAGTAAGCATTAAGTATTTAAATGTCATTGAGAATGGAAAATAATCCAATGATATTATAGTGTTGATACCATTCCATCAAAAGTAAAATGTCATGATTTGTGTCAAAAAATGAGGTGAAGTTGAAATTTTTTTTCTGAAGTAAAATATTGAAGTGTTGGTTATTAAGCGATCATGTATCCCTTTAAGAATTCAATCACTCTCATATTCCCTTAAATATTTAAAAAGGAAAATACTTTTTGTAATATAATTACAACTGAAACATCAAATGAGATATCAATCGCCATACTCAGAGATAAATCTTATGATTAATTTACAAGGCTGAAAACAATAAATCTAGATGATATGTTTTTTTAAGCCATATGGAAATCTATTTAGAATGATTTTTGATAAAGAATGGTAATGAAATAGATATTATTTCCACACACTCTAGATTAATTTAATTGTTTTGATTCATTTTTCCTAGAACATATATATTTGGCAATGCTAACAGAGTATGATGTGCCATTCAGCGCGTAATGTTAACATAAGTAATAAGACTAATCAATGAATTATGGCTTCGGTAGAAAAAGCTATTCAATTAAAAAAAGAATATTTTAAAAAAATATACAAATTAATTATAAATTTTAAGAGAAGTAGCTCTTGCCATAGGTGTTGATTTCTGTTTTGATTTACCCGAAACATCGAAAACCAAGTTATTTGATTTACAATTCCTCATAATATGTAAAACAACACTTTTTTCTGTTGGTATCTTTGCTTCTGCGTATTGTGGTTTAATCATGTAAGATCCTTTATCATTATTTAATTCAGCAACTTTTGTTTCAAGTCTAGAAGATAATTCTGCCAATGTTTCATCTTCTTTTATGTAAATAATTCCTCCGCAAATAAATTCTGATTTCATAGTATTTTCTTTGGAAATAACATTCAAAATTCCAATGTTTTGTTGATTCGCTTTTGTAACTTCAATTCCTATTTCATTTTCTTGCTCAAATATTTGGCCAGAATTTGTCAAATTTCCATCTACTTTTTGACTTGAATTTGATGTCACTTTTTTAGGAATTTCTAATCTAATTGTTTGATAAATAGAAGCTAATATTGATTTATCAACAACAATTTGGTTAATTAATTTATCGGAACTGAAAATTAATATTTGGCAATTCGTCAAATCTTTTTCAAATTTCTTTGATGCTTCAACAATTATGTCATTATAAGTTCTTCCTCTTGGAAGGATTAATTTCGCTGATTTTGTGTTATGAATGTTATCTTCCGAATAAACAACACTATAAGCAACCATATCAGCCAATGCAGCTTCAGAGACGTCTTTTATGAAATTGTAGTAAATTCTACAATTCGAATCATTATTTGTAGAAAATAATGATTTCACAAGAGGATATGTTTTAGTGTTGATACTCGTATCAGATGGTTTTCCATCAGTTCCTTGCTTGAAGATTTGCAAAGAATCGCGCTGTGGCTGATATTCAAATCCGCACGCCCGTGAAAGGTGATATTTCAGTTCATCTATTGACATTGTCACTTTTGAGGGTTTAAAAGTAAATTGAGGTTGATCGTTGTCAATTTCATAAACATCCAAATAGCCAGCGTTGTTATTTTCATCATAAAACTTCGAGAAAGAGTCAGGAGTGAATTTAAACAAATCAATAATTCCATTTTCATCTTTTTCGTAGTTGTATTCTTCGACATCTTCTATTTCTACGGCAAAAGCAGTTCCATTTGTTATATTTGGTGAAAAACGACTCGATCTCTTAAGAGTCGTAATTGAACTATCTGTAGAAACAACAGAAATTTTAAGTGGTTTGTTGATTTTTTCTCTTTTTCTCAAAAACATTTCCAAATTAAATATTGTTGAATCAGAATCAATAAACATGTGTTCCAAAGGAATTAAGTTCTTGTCTTTGTACAATCTTGGGAATAACAAGAATTTGTTTGTTGGATCTTCGAAATTGTTGTTTTCATTGATTTCTACAGCAACAACAATTTCTTTCAATACATTCGTGGAATGAAGAACTGCTTCGTCATTCGCTAATAATTTCTCAGGTTTTAGTTTACATTCAAATAACCTTAAATTATGAGTTTTGTATTTTTCAAAAGCGGTTTTGTAAAGTTGTGAATTCAAAACCGGAATTTCGAAATCGATTTGTTCTGAAGGTTTATTTTGTATCAAATTCGATCCGAAACCTGTCATTTCATCGAATCTTACAAAAGAAACCTTTAAATACTGTTTTTCTTCTTTAGAAATAACAGGTTTATCTCCATTTTCTAGCCAATCTAATATGTGTTTCTGAATCTGATCTTTTTCAACAGGTTTCATGATTTTCTCAATGTCACTTTTTCTGACATAAATCAACATATAAGCGGAATGAGTTTTTGCAATTCCGGCGTCTGACAAACCGCCGAAATTATCGTTAATTGCATCTTTTTCTGTTGAAGTCGTTACAATTGAATCATTGAACTTTATCCACATTTTCTTTTCTTCGTTCCAAAGATAGGCGTAATAGTGTCCTCCACCGTATCTTCCGCTGTGAACTAGTACTCCTGTGAGTTTGTAAATTGGTTTTCCGTCTTTGTCAGAATTATTTTCTGCCAAAAATTTTGTGAGATCGAGTTCATCGGAAAACTCAAACTTTGTGTTGATTTTCTCCATTGTTCCGGACTTTTGTGAGTACTGCCACCTTCCGAGATGTATCTGGAGAACAGATGGGAATGAAACAAACTCAGTTCCTAATTTGATATCTTGGAGACCGAATTCTTCAGTGTTATACTGGTTTTCGCCGGTCAGTTCTTCAACTTCGATGTATTTGCTGAAGGATTCTTCGATGTTGTTGCAGCCAAGGACAGGTAACGACAAATCATAAAAAATTTCGTTTGTTTCTGAGACATAGTTAACATTTATGCCTCTCCTGTAATTTCTTAGCTTGCCGACATATATATCTGTGAGTTCTTTGTCTAAATTCGACTGTTTTAATTTGGTCTCAAGATTATCAGTCAAAACACGAATGAACTCCTGTATGTCGTGTTGCTGTGCGACCATTGTTGACGTCCATCCAAACGAAGTAGTCAAAATTTTGGTGGAAACTGCTGAATTCGAAAATGTCATCTGTCCGAACAATCTTTGAAGGGCTAAGGGGACACATTTGGCCGGATCTTCTTCTCCTGTTGTAGGAATCTGGAAAACAAGACGTCTAAATGCTGGTGTATGGAAGAAACTTTGAATGGCCGAGTTTAAGTAACAAGTTGCGCCTTGGTTTTGCAGGCCAACGAATCCTTCAACAATCTTTGGTGTAGGAAGTGAGGAAGCTGGCATAGAAGCCGGTGTAAATGTAGATTTTTTATTTTGAATAATTTTGTCCAAATTTTCTTCTTTTTCTTCTTTTTCTGGTTTTCTGTCTCCTAAGTCCAACACTTTTTCTTCTTGTTTCTCCTTTTTGGCTGCAAATGAAAAAGGATTTAATTTTGACGCGTAAGTTGGAGTATCCTTCCTAGATCCCCACAAATTATTTGTTTCAGTCGGTGTGGTAGGTACTGGATTGAAAATTCTCAAAGAATCGCTTTGTACCAAGATATTAACATTTTCTTTATTCAAAAACGATTCAACGTCCTTGTCTGTAAGGTTTGTATCGTATGTTGGGTTTTTCATGGTTGGTTTCATCTCAACTGTGAATGAAGTATTGCAAATACTTATTGAAAGTTTTAATGTTGATTTAAGATTTATTCCTGCTGATAACATTGCGTTTAGTTTGTATCTTGGTTGCTTTTCGTCTCTGTAAAGCGCAAAAGCGAATTTTGTTTTTTCAAATTCAAAAACTGATGAATAGAATATTGTTGGACTGCTGGAACGTGTAAATTGAACATGAGTAAGAAATGGATTTAAAGGAATTGGATCAGTACTAGGAAATGTCAATTTATTCTTCAATGAAGAGAAATTGTTTTGAAAATCTGTTTTTTCTTTTTCGATTAGCTTGAATTTGAGCACAAAACCATTTGTGAATTGGGGAATGACCGTATTTGGTTTTTCTTTAAAATAAAATCTGGAAGTCTTAGAATATACATATAGATTTGGATTCTCTGACTTGTAACATGGTGTATTTAAGTTTGGGTGTGAAAATTCGACCTCGCCTGAAAAACTTGAATTTATATCTGAAAGAAAAATAAAATATAAAACCAAACTATCGGTATAGCTATTAATTTTCCTTGATATTTCAACATAAAGAGATAAATTGTCGCCAAGAAATTTTTTGGATGTGTAGACATCTAAAAGTTTATCGACAGAATCTACATAAAATGAGCCACTGTATGTTTTACCTTCGCATATTAATGACTCAGTTCCATCTTGCGGTGGTTTGTGTTTGCTCATTTGAAATTTTGACTAATTAGAAAAAAAAATTTTGACCCCTCTGAAAAATACGACAAATCTAATAAACAAGATATTTATTCGATATTATATGAGAAGAAATAAAATTTGAAGATTTATATAGATGTTCATCATCAATGATAGAAACTATCATGAATTAAGATAACAAATGAAAGAATAGGTGCCCATATAGTTCATAATGATTGTTGAATGGGTAAAATAAGATAAATATTGAATTTCTAATTGAAATAACTTTAAAAAAGGATAAACTCGAGCGATCTGCCGGATCCGTGAAAACAAAATGCAGTCTAGTCATTTTGGAGAAATTAGGTATTAATCCAAAGCTCAAGTAATATAAGTATAATTTTAGATGAAATTAAGAATTATGAATCAGAGATCAAGCAGCTTTAGGTTAAAGTTTATTAAAAATGTAAGATGAAATATATTGATCAAAAATAAATTGTTTAAAAATTATATAATAAGATTAAGTTCAACAAAAATGAATTGAATAAGCCGTAATAGCATTTATTGTTATGAGATCGACACTGGAGTTCATACTCATCAATTGCTTGGGGAAAATAACAATTCATTGAATTATCAACCGTTACACTATCATTTAACCCAAATTTATTGATTGGATATTTTGAAGTTACTCTAATGATTACATTTTTTGAAGTAATACTGTGTTCTGGGTTCCTATAAAAGACATCATTATGAATATCTTGTTTCCCGCAGAAATCTAATCTTTCTAGTTTTTCCAATCCTCTTAATGATTCAAAATCGATATAAGTTACAGATGCAGGGAATCTTAAGTATTTTAGTTGAAAATTAAATCCAAACGCATAAATTCCGATAATTTGGAGGCGGTCACCCCCGAATTCAATACTTTTAACATTATATAAATCATACAATGCCTGAGTTTCAATTGTTTTCAAACAACTACGACTTTCAAAGGCGATACTTAATAAATTATAGCACCGGAAGAATGCCTTTTCTTTTAATATTTCGATATTATAACCAATTTTTGCGGAATTGATATTTTGACAATTTGCAAATGCACATGTTCCCAATTCTGTAACACGCCATACTTTATCAAACTGCACAACAGAGTTAGGGATGCGAAGTGTACTTGGAAAGTTATTGTTGACGGCGTTTGGAAAAGAATCATTGAATATTCCAGTTCCAACTCGAACTTCTTTTCGGATAACATTGATTATCGAATATGTAATTTTGTCAGATTGGAAAGTTTCTCCAATTTTCACTTTTTAGGAAAGAGAAATGAGGATAAAACTTTTATAAAAAAAATGAATTTGGACTGTTTCTGCATATTCACAAATATTGTTATGCTGTAATGTTGAATAGCTAACAAAACTAATCATAAAATGCTTAGATCTTTTGAGGTGAGCAAAAAGTATGAATGTAATCCTTAAAATGATTTTAATTGTTGATATCACTAGATACATTCATAGAATATATCATTTGATGATTTATACAGCAAATAATTTTACAAAAAAAATATTGTATAATTTTCAAGTATTTATCGGGTATTTAATTTTTATAATCAAAATAAAATTATTTTACAGATTTACTAATATGTTTTTTCATCTATTTTGTATCAAAAACACAGTTTCACGAATAAATTTTTCAAAAAAAAATTAAAATTAAAATTTGTTCAAATAAAAATGTTATATTTCTCTTCAAAATTCCAAGTTCAATTTTTATTTGGAAAATAATAGAAGTCTAAAAATAAATAAAGTGCATGTTTAGAGTGGATATTTGACATATTACGGAAAGTTTACCATATTTTATATATTCTTATCATCAAATTTTAGGATTTGAACATTCTACATTTATCACATATATCAAATTCTAACAAAAATTACACCACTGCTTTCTAAATATATCATATGCATCAATTCATGAAATTCTATATCCAAATTCACAGATAAGATTGTATTTTTCAAGAGGGTTCCTAATATTTTAGATATATTAAAACTGTATTTATCCTTTATCAATCAAACCATATAGATTTCTTCGTAATTTATGATATTTTATACAAAATCTGAAAAAAGATTAAAGCTTTCTGGTAATTTTTGCAATGTTATAAATGCTGCAGGAATGACTTTCAAAATGACCGCATTTAATTCATTTAATCAATTCAATAGAGATTTTGAAATAGTTTAGTCGGTTTTTGCATTTTTAAAATGTTAGTCACCTTTCTCCTTCCAAAGTGAAAAAAAATTGTTTAAAATATAAAAAGAATTTTTATTCGCATAGGCGACAAACAAGGATTTATAAATAAATGATGGGGCTTTGAGTATTGATCTGAATTGAATCAGATAATTAGCCGTAAAAAATCTTCTAATAACAATTTCTCATGCATGAAAGATGGCTATGAGTGGCGTTAATGAGGGCGTTTGATAATTGGAGTTGGACATAAAATTTGGAGATCTTAAATTTTGAGAATTTTGGTGCGATCTTACTGGTAAAAGCAAGAGTATGGAAGGAGATTGAACTGAGAAAAAACTAGAGCATGCAAAAGAATCATGCTACAGCTTAGTTGAATGTCATTTATGCAAATAAAAATATCTTTTTCAAATTTCAAACAAATTTTTGCCACTTTTTGAAAGAAGATAAGGTAACAAACATTTTAAAATGCAAAACCTAGACTTAAACTATGCCGAAATGTGAGCTCACCGTTACGGTTTTTTCTTTTTTTGGGGGCTCGCAAGCTCGCCCCTAAAGAAAAAACCGTAACGGTGACTAACATTTAGGAAAAATTTCTTTTATGAAGTGAATTGAATATTGAATTTACAATTCAATTTATTTGTCTAGTTTTCCTAAATAGTGTTTGGTGTAAGACAAATTTTGATATTTCTAAGCACACTCAGAAAATCTCAATTGACCTAATTTTTTTTGGAAAATATAAAATATAATTTTCCATTTTATTAAAAAAACAGTTTTGTCTGATAAAATAATCTTATCAAAATTACTAACTTTACAATTTTATCAAAAAATTGGATGTCGATATTAGAACAAGTAACTATCAACGTCCAAGATACTTTTCATGAAATAAATCCTTCTATATTCAAGCCTCCAAGTTTTGAGCTTGGGAGGCCATTAAATACAACAGAGGAAATATTCGGGGAAGATACTTTAATCGATGGCCACAAGGTTGTTCATGTCCACGAATTAATTGAAGATAACAACGGAAATGTATTTAGAGTTATCGATACTCTTGGAAACGGTACTTTTTCTTACGTTTACAAATGTCAATTATTAGGCGATATTCATTCATTTTTTGCAATGAAAATCATTAAAAATTTACCACAATACCATGCAACCGGCATATCAGAAGTCAGCTTGCATCAACTTCTATCAAGTGCCCCAGATCATCCTGGAAAAAGCCATATAATTATGCCTATTTCTAGTTTTGAAATGGACAATCACGTAATTATCGTAGAGCCTCTCTTGTTCAGGTCATTATTTGAAGGAATTTATCAAAATAGGCCAGTTTCCCAATTATTGAGTACAATTCGAAATATAATGGAACAAATTTTGCAGGGAGTTTCATTTTTACATGCGAATGGAGTTACACATTGCGACTTAAAGCCAGATAACGTTTTATTCGACGATGAAAACATGAATAACTTGCAAATCATAGATTTAGGTTCAGCATCAATGTCTCCAACAGGAGCAGGTGATTATATTCAATCTAGATTCTACAGAAGCCCAGAAGTGATTTTGGGTTTACCATATACAAACAAAATCGACTTGTGGAGTGCTGGATGTATTGCCAGTGAGCTATTTCTTAATTTTGCAATATTTGCAACGAATACTGAGTTCGATACAATTCATTCTATGGTTGCATTACTTGGACCTTTCCCTGATTCGATGATTCAACCTTCTAAACAATGGTGGAAGTTCTTTGATATGACGAGAGATGGATATAAGCTCAAAATGGATCCAAATGACGTTTTACTTGAAAGACATTTGTATAATTCAATTTTCCAAGAAACAGGACCATCATCTCTTGAAAACTTGATCATGAATCATTGTGATCTCGAAACAGATGATGATGTCAATTTAGTTTCTTGTTTCTCTCATTTTTGCCAATCCTTATTGCAATTTGATCCAAATACAAGATTATCTGCTGAACAGGCACTTAGTCATCCATTTATTACTGAAGATATCTTCTCTGGAGAATGGTATCCTGAATGCGAAGAAGATATTCCACATGTTGCTCCAGTACAAACTCTTGTTAGATCATCTTCAATGGATAGAATTGCCACTAGTGATTTCCTCAATATGTTTTGATTTAATTTCTCGAATTTATCAAATTTTATTATATTTTTTTATATTTTTTGTTTGATATTTATAAATATATTATTTGCATTACTGACTTTTATTTAATGCATTTGTAAAATGCGAAAAATACAAAGATTAAATTTTATTAAAAAACATCTCGAATTCCTTTCCGACTATCAGACAATTAGCATTTCAATTCATGTGCATCCATATTATCAGAAGGATTATCTTTAATTTTTAAGGTATTTTAAATCGGATAATATTTGATACTTTTATAAGCTTAATTGAACAAAAAACAAAGTAAAATTAACATATTTAGAAAATTTATTAATTTATTTCCTATACATTTACCTATTTTGATTGAGATTTACATGGATGGGTTCTATATATATACAGCTTGACCATATGAAAAGAAGATTGATTTTTTTATCAATAATTAAGCATTCTATTTTTATGCAAATAACATATATTTTGAAAAGATATGCAATAATCTTAAAAATCCCTTCGAAATGCTTAACTTCATATTTGATATTCCTCGCGTTCAATGAAATTGAAAGAACATTGGGGGAAAAATATATAATGGTTTTAACATAATCATCTGGATGAAACTCTTATTGGTTTAGACATTCATGTTGCTATTATGTTATTTCATATCTACAAACTTAATCAAAATGCATAAACGATTTCCGAAATCTTTGTGATCAGCATTTTTCCTCAGATATAATGTAGCATTTATTTTCCTCAATGGATTTTAAAGATGTTTCAAATGGTAAAATTGAAATGTGTCCTTATAAAAAATTATTAATGTCTGATCAAGATACTCGCCTAAATAAGTTCAGCGAATTGCGAAGTATGGTTAAAAACTACATCGATTCGTATAATGCATTGTATCAACTGAAAACCGAAAATGAAGAAGAAATAAACAAGATTTACAAAATGATCAAAACAGAGTTGATTGATTCAAAGAAACGTCTTCCTCATACTATTATAAGCGACATTTTATCAATTATTCCGTTTAAAAATCGCTATACGAAGGCTTATTTTTCCCTCGCCAAACTCATATATGATAATTATCAAATAAACGAGAAAATCAAAGTTCAATTAAGTGTTGGATACCTATTTTATAAAGAATATGGAATCAAATTAAACAAATCGGACAATTTCGAAAAAATTAAATCTGAAAACATCGATATTCATACAGAAGATACAATTTACAGAGCAATTATGCATAATGACTTAGAAAGATTCATTGCATTCACTGAAAGAGAAGGATTTGATAAAGATCAAAAACTTGAAAGTAGTTTATATCCATTTTCTGGCAATGGATATTCATTACTTGAATTGTGTTGTTACCATGGAGCAGTTGATTGTTTCAAGTTATTAAGAACAAAATTTCAATCATATGTATCTTATACATGTCTTAATTTGTCGTTTTTAGGAGGAAATCAAGAAATCATGAGTGAATGTTTGAAATATATGGAACCATATTGGGGATGCATGGAATATGCAATTATTTCACACAACATAGATTTTGTTACATTCTTGATGAACGAATACCAAATAAAGATCGATTTATTTTATTGCGCAAAGCATAATAATCATGAAGCATTTTTAGTTTATTTCGATCAAACTAATGATATTAACAAATGCTTTCTTTATTCAGCAAGGCTCAATATTCCATCCTTACTCGAATACTTCCTTTCACATGGTGCGAATATCAATGAAAAAGATAATGATAGAAAAACCGCTCTTCATTATGCAGCATTTAATAATAATAAAGAAACAGCCGAACTCCTTATTTCACATGGTATTAATATCAATGAAAAAGATAAAAATGGAGAAACTGCTCTTCATTATGTAGCATTTAATAATAATAAAGAAACAGCCGAACTCCTTATTTCACATAGTATTAATATCAATGAAAAAGATAAAAATGGAGAAACTGCTCTTCATTCTGCAGCACTAAAAATAGTAAATAAATAGCTGAACTTCTTATTTCACATGGTATCAATATCAATGAAAAAGATAAAAATGGAGAAACTGCTCTTCATTCTGCAGCACTAAAAAATAGTAAAGAAACAGCCGAGCTTCTTATTTCACATGGTATAAATATCAATAAAAAAATAATAATGGACAAACCGCTCTTCATTTTGCAGCAAGTCACAATAGTAAAGAAACAGTCGAACTTCTTATTTCACATGGTATAAATATCAATGAAAAAGATAATGGTGGAGAAACTGCTCTTCATTTTGCAGCACCAGAAAATAGTAAAGAAACAGCTGAACTTCTTATTTCACATGGTATAAACATCAATGAAAAAGATAATGATGGACAAACCGCTCTTCATATTGCAGCATATCATAATAGAAAAGAAACAGCCCAGCTTCTTATTTCACATGGTGCAAAGTATTAGTGTTTCTATATTTCATGCTTTTTGTTTAATGTTCATCATGTCATATTTTAAACAAAAACAAAGATAATATTAGGAATAGATATCATAAAAAAAAAACAAGATCTGATTTCAAATTCAATAAATCTATAAATAATAACTTTATTTTCTATTCTTTTTATGCCTCTTGAAAGCATCTTCACCAGGCATCTTTTGAGGAACTTCCTCTTCGATATCGAGCATTGCCTTCATTCTCTTTTCTGCGGCAATTTCAGCTCTCTTTTCCTTTTCTTCTTCTTCCTTCCTCTTTTCCTCTTCGATCTGTTCTTCGTACTGTTTCACACTCTCTAACGCTTGGTCTCTAAGGTTATCTGGGATGGTCATGAACTGAACTTCGCCAGGAGAGTTCTTCTGCATCTTTTTCATGACTCTTTTCTCTTCTGGAGTGACATACATACTGATGGCAGTGCCTTTCTTGCCTGCTCTGCCTGTTCTACCTGTTCTGTGGATGTATCTTTCTAATTCATTTGGAATTGTGAAGTTAATAACGTATTCAATATCAGGAATATCAATACCACGTGCTGCAAGATCTGAAGCAAGTAAATATTGTACTTTTGACTCTCTAAACTGTTCAATTGCTTCATTACGTGCTGTTTGGGAAAGATCAGCGTGAAGCTCGGCGGAAGCAATGCCAAGGTTCTTGAAAAGTAAGAATACGTGATGTGCAAGGGCTTTCGTTGGGAAGAAAACTAATGTTTTATCTTTGCACATATTTCTGCAAAGAGCAACAAGATAAGGAAGACGACGCTCTTCTTTCTTGGTCTTAATGAACATTTGTGTAATATTAGGGTTTAATTCCATGTATGGGTTGATTGAAATTTTTTCTGAAGACTTTTTCTGTATTTTAGTGGCTAATTTAGCGACTTGGTCGTTAAGTGTAGCTGTGAAAAGTAATGTCTGATGTTTTTCTGGTAATTGGCTGACAATTGTGTTGAGTTGTGATTCGAATCCTTTTCCGAGAAGTCTATCGGCTTCATCGAGGACGAAAAACTGAAGATGTTCGAGTTTAAGGACTTTGGCATTGAAAATGGAGTCAATAAAACGACCTGGTGTACCAATAATGATATCTGGTGCAGGTGTAAGTAATTCTCTTTGTTCTTCATCTGAAACACCACCAATGACCAATGTAGATGTAATTGCGCAGTGTGCTGCAAGCATGTCACATACAGCTTTTAATTGTTGGGCAAGTTCTCTTGTTGGGCTCATAATTAAGGCCTTTGGACCAGGAAGACCTCTGAAAGTAAGGAGTTTTTGAACGATTGGGATCAAGAAGGCCATAGATTTACCTGAGCCTGTGATCGCAGTCGCACAAATATCTTGGCCAGAAAGGATTTTTGGAATAGTTTCTGCCTGAACTTTTGTTGGATTTGTGAAGTTGTTTTCATTTAAAGCACGAATAATCGGTTTTGCAAGCTTTAAATCAAGGAAACTGATGATTTTGTCTTCCTCCATTTGGCACTTTTATAAATTTGTCACTTTTTAGAAGATTTTATCATTCATTATCTAGCCAAGCATCTTATATATATTAAGTAAACATTCTAGTAGGATTAATAAGTAAGGATGGACATAAACATCAACAATATACCATTTATCTCTTATAAAAAGCATTGATGTAAAAATTTGAAATTATAGCAAAAATCCATATTATTCTAATTTAGTATATTCTTTTATGAGATTTCATAATATTGATAAATATGAAATTTTATATTTGCTCAGATCAGGTTGAAAGCTACACCATTAACCTCTGTTTAGCTTGTTAAATTATTTAAACATGTTTTTGGGTGAGTAAATAAAAATTGGAAAGATAGATGATAGGAAAAATAAGACTATTTAACTACAAAACAAAAATAACAAATTAATTTTTATTCAACTGCTTGAGTAAATCTTTTATCCGTATAAGAGAAGTTTTCAAATCTCTCCATTACGGGCATAACATAAGATTCGCATGGTCTTTCTCCCTGGCACTCTGCATCACAATTAACACAGTCATCGCTCGAAAAATCATCTGGAATGTAAGCGCATTTTGCACTGTGGTTTGCAATTGTATCCCAATCAAAACCTTCAAAGAATGGAGAAGCATGGATATCTTTGAAGCAAGCTCTCTCTTTGGGATCCTTTTTAAGAAGATGTCCAATAAGAGATTTAGCTCCTGGATCACGAATTGGGAATAATGCGACATTCCTAGAAAGGATGTTCTTGAACAAGGTCTGTGTGTTCTCGTTAGCAAATGGAGTATGTCTGGCAATGATTTCGTACAGTAATATGCCAAGTTGCCACCAATCAACTGCATATCCGTATTGATTGCCAAGAATTTCCTCTGGAGCAATGTATTCTTTAGTTCCGCACATTGTGGATGTTGTATCTGAATGCTGTTTGAGAATCTTTGAGATTCCGAAATCTGTCAACTTCAAATGACCGTCAGCACAGAAAAGAACATTCTCTGGCTTAAGATCTCTGTATATGATGGAGTTCTTATGCAAGTGGTGAATAGCAACAGCAAGTTCTGCGATGTAAATTTTGATGTCATCGAGTGTGAACCTACCGCTGTTCCTCAAGTGAGAGAACAGATCACCACCTGATGAATACTCCAGGACAAGGTAGAATTTGGATGGTGATTGGAAAGAAAAGAGTAATTTGATGATATATGGACAATCGACTTTCATCAAGATCTCTCTCTCTGTAAGTACAGTATTAACTTGGTGCTTGTCAATCAAGAACTTCTTGTGAATTGACTTGATGGCAACAAGCTCATCTGTCTTTTTATACTTTGCAAGCATAACCTTGCCGTAGGAACCTCTTCCGAGCTCTGATATGATCTCGAAATCATCAATGGAAATGCCATTGCTCGGGTAAAGCTTCTGCAAAAGCTTGTTGAGCCATTTTACTAAAGAGTCAAGACATTTTGCACGGAAAGCATATACACCTGCGTTTGGACAAGTTATGGAGAAGATAAGAGCTTTCTCATTCTCATCACTGCAAGAGATATTCGTATCATGATCTATGATAATCTGACAGGACAATGCGATCTTGGTCTCATCTTCATACATACAGAGCCCGTTACCGGAGAGTGTGCAAAATCTGATGTGCCAATCCTTTTCTGAAGGTCTCTTAACATCGAGGTACCCTTCTAAATCGGACATCCGATTTATAAAGCATAGTTTTCTCTCAAATTTTCAGATAGAAACTGGCCGTATTTGATTCAAATAAAATCTCAACTTTTATTACATTGTTTTAATATTTTGATATATAAAACTATTTTCATGAGGTTCTGGAATTTCAATTGAATCGGCTTTTTTTTATTAATGTCTCGAGTTTCTTTTCGAATATAGCTACAGAATCAGATTTAGTGTCGTTTTACCATTTTAGATTTTTGATAAGTCCATTTTATTTTCCAAAAGTAATTTTTCAATGGTTTTATTCAAAATTAATTGTGAAACAAGTTTCATGCTATGTAGATTATTTATATTTACATTTGAAAATAAAATTCAAATCTATACAAATTTCTGCTTGTGTCCTATGCGATAATATCGATTTAAATAGGTCTTATATAGCGTACTAACACAAAGGACGGGCAGTGGATCTCCAAAAAATCATTTATAAGGGAAGGGCGTGTAAATGATATCGAGGAGTAACCGGAAAAGTGCCATCATTTTCCAAAGAAATCCTGCCGTAATAAAAGGTTTATACGAACACACCGATTGCATAGTTTTTAGTAAATCTGTAAGGGCCTTATGTTGGAGTCTTTGTTTCACCACATAAAATAAGGATTGTTTCAATTTGAATAAAATGAGTGACAACTAATATCCATGAACCGAATAACCTCAACACTTCGGCAAACCCAAATTTTAGCTAAAAGTGACAGGGGAAAAAAACGTTTAGTATTAAAAAAAAAGACCGATGAGAGCTTCGTTCGAAATATAGAGGGAACTGAGAATGCGCAACCATTCTCAGGGAATATTGGATGCTATTCCCGTTCCCTCTGTATGGAAAATTGAGGTTTTCAAAGGGAGTTAAAATAATATCAAATTTATACTAATTTACTTCAAAATACAAAAGTATTTGACAGCTAAAATTAGTTACTTTAGCAAGCCTATCAATACCCTTTTACGATTATTGTTACTTTTTCGAAATAAAAGTAAAAACAAATTTATACTAATTTACTTCAAAATACAAAAGTATTTGACAGCTAAAATTAGTTACTTTAGCAAGCCTATCAATACCCTTTTACGATTATTGCTACTTTTTCGAAATAAAATAAATTTATTATCAAAAACCTTTTTTTTTTCTTAGTAAAAATAAAAATATTATTTTATATCAAGTTTTTATTCATAAATTTTTATAATGTTGTATAAATTTGAAGGTGGAAATCTGTAATAATTTTATCTTGAAAAGACTTGGCATTCTCAACAATGAATTGAGGGGTATTGCATCCAAATTTGATGGAAATATGCAAATTTAAAATAATAAAGAAAGCCGCGAGCTAAGCGAGCGGCTTAGTTCGAAGATTCTGATTCAAATCTTTGCTGATCTGTAATTCGCGGAAGCCGCGAGCGAAGCGATCGGCTTAGGTCTAAGATTTTGATTCAAATCTTTGCTTATATTCCTTAAATTCTTTATGAAACTCGCAACAGTTCCATAAAAAATTTTAAATTCTAAACTGTCGAAATTACCGATCGGTAATCACACCCTTCATGGGTGTGTCACTTTTTACAGGCGTGTCACTTTTAGCTAAAATTACCCCTACTCCCATAATAATACATATTTCAAGTATTTTTATGGAATCTTAGGGCATCCATAACCAAAAAGTTAATATAAATGATTTTTATAAGAATTATTTATCAAAAACTATTGCTTTTCAATGAAAACAATTTGGAAATAATTTTATCGAATAAATAGATTGTATTTAAACATGGGTGTTAGAAAGTGCTAAGGTATAATTATTTTGAAGCGCCGAACTCGGTTAATAATTTGATAATTTCGGGTGAATTTTGCTTAATTGCAATGCTAAGTGGACATTCGTTAATATAAAAAGAATTTCATAAAACGATGATTGATATTAAAAGAAAGAGAATGTCATAAAACGATGATTGATATTAAAAGAAAGAGAATTTCATAAAACGATGATTGATATTAAAAGAAATAGAATGCCATAAAACGATGATTGATATTAAAAGAAATAGAATCGCATAAAACGATGATTGATATTAAAAGAAATAGAATTTCATAAAACGATGATTGATATTAAAAGAAAGAGAATGTAATAAAACGATGATTGATATTAAAAGAAAGAGAATCATATAAAACGATGATAAAAAAAAAAAAAAAAAAAAAAAGGTAGTGGGGCTTCCAGGCACTTCGTGCCTTCTAGCCCCGAAGATGTTTAGTATAAATGAAGTTTTTATTCGGAAAATTGTTAGTCTTCTTGGTCGAAAACATTATATAATGTTTCACTTTTCACAAATTATATATGTTTTCATGTTTTGTCAAGACTTCTTCTTCGTAAATGTTTTGTCAAGACTTCTTCGTAAATGTTTTGTCAAGACTTCTTCGTAAATGTTTTGTCAAGACTTCTTCGTAAATGTTTTGTCAAGACTTCTTCGTAAATGTTTTGTCAAGACTTCTTCGTAAATGTTTTGTCAAGACTTCTTCGTAAATGTTTTGTCAAGACTTCTTCGTAAATGTTTTGTCAAGACTTCTTCGTAAATGTTTTGTCAAGACTTCTTCGTAAATGTTTTGTCAAGACTTCTTCGTAAATGTTTTGTCAAGACTTCTTCGTAAATGTTTTGTCAAGACTTCTTCGTAAATGTTTTGTCAAGACTTCTTCGTAAATGTTTTGTCAAGACTTCTTCGTAAATGTTTTGTCAAGACTTCTTCGTAAATGTTTTGTCAAGACTTCTTCGTAAATGTTTTGTCAAGACTTCTTCGTAAATGTTTTGTCAAGACTTCTTCGTAAATGTTTTGTCAAGACTTCTTCGTAAATGTTTTGTCAAGACTTCTTCGTAAAATCAGACAAAAATAATGTTTAGGTGAAGAGGTGAGATTTCACCTGTTTTTTCACCTCATTTCTCACCTCTTGAATTTTCATGAAATTTACACCAAAAATATATTTTAGGTGAAGAGGTGAGATTTCACCTGTTTTTTCACCTCATTTTTCACCTCTTGAATTTTCATGAAATTTACACCAAAAATATATTTTAGGTGAAGAGGTGAGATTTCACCTGTTTTTTCACCTAATTTTTCACCTCTTGAATTTTCATGAAATTTACACCAAAAATATACTACTAGGGTCATTTACGAAGAAATCTCAACAAAGTCTTTACGAAGAAATCTCAACAAAACATAGACAAGAAAGTTCATGAGAAATTAGATGAAGAAGTCTTAACAAAGTCTTTACGAAGAAATCTCAACAAAACATAGACAAGAAAGTTCATGAGAAATTAGATGAAGAAGTCTTAACAAAGTCTTTACGAAGAAATTCATGAAAATTCAAGAGGTGAGAAATGAGGTGAAAAAAGAGGTGAAATCTCACCTCTTCACCTAAAATATATTTTTGGTCATTTACGAAGAAATCTCAACAAAGTCTTTACGAAGAAGTCTCAACAAAGTCTTTACGAAGAAGTCTCAACAAAGTCTTTACGAAGAAGTCACAATAAACATCTGTCAAAAACCGCTTTTTAACTTCACTTAAAATGCCACGTAAGCTACGTAAGAATATACGTAAGAGGAAGAGAGCATTGAAACATCCAATAGTAAGACTAACACCACAACAACAGTTGCAACAACAAATGCTGAATGACCCCACTATGTTGCAACAAATGTCAAGCAATCCTATGCTTTTAAACCGAGTTGTTGGTGCACAGAGTGGAGGTTTAAGAGCGGCACTTTTAGCGAAAATGGCAGGCTATGGTGGAGCTGCAGACGGAACAGCCTATAACCCTCAAAGTCAAATGAATTTGAGTTCACTCAAAAATCAAATAACAGATGTCAAAAAGTCAAACATAGACATACAGAAACAAATAAGTGAAAACGAAAAGAAACTAGAATATGACAGACACACAAAGAAACTCAATGAGTTAAACGTAGAGAAAAAGAAGAAAGAAGAACAACTGAAAGAACTAAGTACAGAGCAATATGCAAAAAAAGTGTCAGAAAAAGCAACAGAAGTAGCAAAAATGGAACAAGATGTCATAAATTTGAAAAACCATACTACTCAATATAAAATACTGAAAGATGAAGAGATAAAACAAAAAGCCCTGAAGACATATATGGATAGCGATGAGTATAAAAAAGAAGTTGAAGCAAATGTAAAGGCAGAAAAACTTTTACAGTTGCAAAACCAAACCGTACAGTATGAAAACTTAGCACAAGAAAGTAAAAATAACGACGCGGCTATGCAAAAGGCAATGAAAAGCGCAGAATATATAAAAGCTAACAATGACTGGTTAGATGCCCAAGCCAACGCTAAAGCAGCCCAGCTTATAGGGTCAATAAGGACAAAAATACAAGCGGATGAAGACAGTTCAAATGAAGCTTTAACGAATGCTGACTTTAAGAACGCCTTCGAAGCTCTTCATAGTAAGGTGAAACAAGTGAACGACTTCTCATCTGGAAAGAAACTGAAGTCTGAAGGTTTCGACAACGAGTTAAGAGAAGTAGCACAAAATATGACGAAAATAACAGATGCAGCAACGAGACAGGCAGTTCAAAGTGCCTATGACGCCGTTAGAGCAACTGTTGTGAAAAGTCAAGAAAAAGAGTTACAACAGACCAAAACAGACCTAGTAAATGCTTTCTTAAAAACGAAAAGTCAGGTAGGACATTACGCTGCAGATGGAACATATGTGCCAGCTGGTGGAACTTATATACCACCAAACCCTCCAAGAGAAGCACCTGCACCAGGACTACCTAGAACATTTACATCGTCACATGGACACAGACACAGGCATGCACAACAACCAGCACAACAACCACCTCCACAACCAGCACAACAACCAACAGTTCAAACCCTGCACAACAACCACCTCCACAACCAGCACAGCAACCACAAACAGAGCAAGGACATAAAAGAAGTAGAGAACAAGGAAACCAAGAATTCTTAAAAATGCTTAAAGAAGAGTGTGGTTTCCCAGATACTGTTGACTTTAGTGACAGATATAAAGAAGCTATTGGAAAGTTCAAGGATGGAAATACTGACCCGAACCTATTTAGCTTTATGGCTCAGCACCAAAACGGATATAATCTCAAACCTGGAAAATACAAGCTCGCTAAGGGATATGATTTAATAGCATATCATCCAAATGACATGGATGAATTTACTCCGAGATATTTGATGTCAGAGCTAAATGACAATTCAACTTTCGTCATGAAACGCGTAAAAAATAGAGACGGAACGAAAGAACAAAAGCTTATGAATGCGGATGACGTAGATAGGGAAATTGTTGAAAACGGTCTCGGAATATATGAAATGCCAGCAGATGAGGTACAAGAAACTCCACAGGAAGAAGTTCAGATACAACCAGACATGGAAGAAATAGTTCAGCAACAACAGCTAGAAGAGCCTGAAGGAAACGAACAAGTCCCTCCTTTGGAAACTAACTTCACAGAACTAGATGAAGATTTGGAACAGCCGAAAAATCTTGACCCTCAACAAGAGTATGCGGAGAATATGGAATATTTCCAAGAGTCTAAAAAAAATTCGGCTGACATAGTAGAAGAATATCGAAAAATGTTTGCCGACATACAAAAGACTCCAGCACCAGATGAAAATATTCAGCATAGAATGGAAGCACTGAAAGAAAATGTACACAAATACAACAACCCTTTTTACTTACGAGCATTTAACGTTCAATCTTCGGATGAACTCGGTGAAAATAAAAGGTTAAATTTCAAGAAAACATATAGAAATGAAACATTGTTTAAAGTTCATTCAGAACCTAACCAAGATGGAAACAAACCTACTTTTGTTTCTGCAGACGATGGAACTACAATGAGATGGGGTCATAAAGCTAATCCAGATAGGTGGTTCATAAACTTACAACCACAATTCCAAGAAGTTGTAGACGCAATGGAAGTCAATGGTGAACGAGATATAGCTGGTATTTTAAGCGCGGCTTTAATGCCATTGAAAGATATGAAACATGCAGATATTTTGGACCAGTATGAAATGAACATGGCTGATGGAAATATAACACCTGACGTTCTAGAACATTTATCTCAAAGAACTACACAGAACCATAGAGATGGTATATTTGGTGAAGAGTTTAGAAAGAAAGTTAGGAGGGAGAAGGAAGAGAACCTATTGTACATGACCTTGCAACGAAAGTTTGCAAATGTCATAAAAACTTACTTTGCAGACAATGAACCGAGAAGGGATGAATATTTAAGAAAACTCAAATGGACAGTACCAAATGAAATGTTAGTATTGAAAAACATGTTCCTTGACAAAATAAAACCAACTACAGAAATAAACGACGCAAGACTGAAAGATTGGGTAAAAGCTTTCCCATTCACAAAAGATATAATTGGTAACATGGAAAGAAAACCAGAATGGCTACAAAAACATATATTTGGAAACGAGCTTATTCCATATGGACAGGCACTGTTTGAAGAGCTTGAACCAGAAACTCAGGACAGAGTCATGCAAACAATACGCAAAGACTCAAATACAAACTATGACAAACTCTTTCTAGGATATAGGTTACCTGAGATGGGCGACCAGAGCCCAAAGGCAAAAAGGACATGGGAAATTTGCAACATACTAGATGAACATAATGCAAAGATGCAACAACTTCAAGCAGAGGGCAATGAAGGAAAAAGAAGAGTTAAAAACTCAGTCAGGAAGAAAGTAAAGCTTGGTCCACGTGGGTTCTATTATGACATATAAATCCAACTATTCTATATTTTTACTCATATGAAATGTACGCCGCTCAGAATATAACGCCAACAGTTTTGGATGCTATGAATGGAAATGTTTCCGAATGGTATAACGAATGCGACAATGCCATTAGAAGGTCAGAAATAGTTCCTGGAACTTACGAATATACAACTGCTGTTTCATATGGAAACGTAGGTGAGTTTGGAGAAGGTTCTTCAACAACAGTAGATATTGCTTGCGACAGGTTTCATATTATTTCTATTGACAACTCATTCTTATACGTGGAACAAGACATTGAAATAAAACCTTCTGCCAAGTTGTCTGACAAGAAAGGTTGCAATGGAATTTTCTATGTCGGATACCAATATGCTCCAGAAGTTTTCATGGGATATAAGATATATTCTAACTCTGACTTAGTTCAAACAGTAACATGGGCAAACTATGAATGGTTCGCTTTGAGAAACTCAGTACAACCACAAGCTAGAGAACAAACAGACCAGTATGCAACTATTGAAAAAATAAGAAGACTTGACCCTAACGTTCCAGGAGTTTATGTTGACCTTTCTGGACAAACTGCAGCAGCAGTAACCAAAGTAAAACTGAAACTTAGAGTTCCTTTGTCATCTTTCCTCATCTTCAGGTTTTTAAGATACTTGCCAAACTGGGCAGGAAAAATTTCTATCGAACTTACTCCAAGCAAAAATAACTTAGTCATTGCACCAACACAAGACCTTCACTCTTACAGAAGTAGTGGGAACAAATAAAATGTCATTCGCCGACTTTTGCAAAAACAAAGTTGACTTAGACTTTGGTTTCTCAAACCTCAACACTGAAGTAAACTATTATTTCAATGCTGCTGGAGATGCTTGGGACCCAGTTAAGTTCACATGCGAAAAGTTTGAATGCAAGAGAATAGAAAGCAGACTTGCAGTCTATATGTTGGACCCAGATATTTCAAATGCTTTAGCTGCCAAATATATTGCAGTTCCACTTATGTTCCCTATACACCAAATATCTGTCAAAGACTTTGCAGGTGAAGTTGGAAACCAAAGTGCTGACCCAGGTGCAAGAACAGATATTGCCTTAACAACTGCAATGAAACATGCAGATACTATGTTTGTACTGTTCAGACGAACTATAAATGACTATTCTTGCTTCTACAACCCTGGTATTAAATACCATATAAACATAGATGGCAAATACTATCCAAGAGAAGAATATTCTACAGTTGAGGATATGAGGTCATACAACTTGACATTAGATGCTATGAACTTTAACAACAACTTCACAACAACCATTAACCCTGAAATGCAAAGTTCTATTATGCCATATGTGAAAGTATGGACTCATACAGGAGCTCAAAAAACTCAATATACAAATGGAGACCGTTCAAACTTTTGGCTTGGCATTCCATTTGCTGACTCAGAAGACTTTATGGGTGGTATTTCAACTGTTGGTACAGTTCAAATACAATATACTGGTGACAGAGACGGTCCAGATGAACTGAAAGCAAAGAAGTTTACAAAACCAATAGCACTTTTCACGGAAGATGCTCTTTTGAAGATTCGTTCGATGAAACCTGCTGGGGCTCCTCAGATTGGTATAACGACAGCTTCCATCGAGCAGATTTTGGCAGCAGGTCAGTAAGTTGTTCTTGAACTGACTTCTCTCCGGCAAATATTGACAGTACGCCAGTTTTGATATAATATTGTATTATAAACTTACCTTTAGAAATATCGGTCAGTTTTGTTGTTATATTTTTGTCTGCTTCAAGAACTTTCACCATTTCAGTTATACCAACTTTCTTTGCTTTATGAAAATATTTTGGTTCAGCAAAGACTGCTATTCTATAACATTTTCCATTGTTTGTGTAAAGAACTATTCTGTCAATGAACTTGTACTGTTTGTGTGTGTAAACTTTGTTTTGCTTCAATTCAAAGAGATACTCAAATACGTCCATCTTTTTATTCTTAGTAAAATGTCATTTCCGAAAAATAGAAGCGTAAGTGTTTCAAAAGGTTTAATGGCGGTGGCAGATGTGAAGTTAAATTCACCAACTCAAACAAACAGTCAAAGTGTTGTTGTCAATGTCAAAGAAAGAGATGTTGAAGTGGGGAAACCATACGAAGACGAAGATGGTATAACAATAGTTCCTGTAAAAGAACAACCAACATACCCTGAAGTTAGCAGAGACTTAAGTTCTGTTGCAGATATTCGAAACGACTACCAACAACTTAAAGACAAACTTAAAACTCAGGAGAAGATTTGTCAAGCTTTGGGTATAATGTTAAACTTGGTCGAACACAACCCTGTAAAAGTGAACTCATATGTCATTGCACCTCATGAAGTTTTGAAAGAACTATTGAAACTTTTGACAGAGGCAGACGATATAAACATCAAAGAAATAGAACCCGACATTGCTTGCTGTGGTGTTTCATATAATGTCATTGACAAGATATACGTTATGAAAGGAGGTGAAACGTTGAACTTAAAATATAGTTTCCCAGACGTCATAAAAATATTTGACGACCACAACATTTCATTAAAGTTTGTTTGCTAAGTAAATGGCAGAAGACATAGTGGTTTATACTATTACGACTAAAAACCCTGAGTCATATAATTCTATAACAACAAACTTACAAAGTCCTCAAGGACGGTATTGTAAACTGACCTTAAACACGATGACGACTAAAGCCTGTTTTGCTCTTTTGACACCAGAAGATTTTATTGTTGTGAATGGTAAAAAATACTTCTTTGAAGATACTTACTCAGATATACCACCAACAGGTTTTGTTGACTTATTTAATACTTTAAGGACGAGTGTAACATGTGCTGCAACTAGAGCAGGTTTCATTATGTTTGGATGTCCGACTGAGTTTACTATAAACAATATGAGCTATAATACAAAACTTATATCTGGTTTTTACTACCAACAGTTTCCTATAACAGGAAAAGGTGTCATACAAGGAATGTCTATTCCATTGACTTTAAGTACACCTATTTTATATATTGTTTCAAACTTAGGTTCAAAGTGTTATTCGAATGTCGACAGAAACTACTATGACCAAAAGATACTCATGCGTATAAACAACACTTTCTCTGCTGGTTTGCCTATTGTTCATTCGAATGCAGAGTTTTCAGCTTTAGTAAACTCAAACACTTTAGCAAACATAAACTTAACCTTAGTTGACGCAAACTTTGTTCCTGTAAAACTTTTATGTCCTATGTATTTGTCAATGACGGCAGAAAGTTTCGAATTGGAAGATGCAACTGGTGAAAGTATTGTACTACAAGAACAACTTCAACAACAAATAGCTCAAGAACAACAAATGCAACAAATGCAACAACAAAGTCAAGAATAAAAAAAATATTTTTTTTTATTTTTATAAAAATGTACAGAATAGATGTTTCAGATTTTTATGACTTCCAAGCATTCAGAAATATGTGTCCATTTAGAGACTATAACAAAGCAGTCGAGAATTTGAAACGTTTAGTCATTTATGTTGACTCTGCCCCAGAATGTTATGTCATGAAAGAATGGGATGTTGTCTTTAACAAACCAAGAGCGACAATAGTTTCAGAACAAGAATGTAGACAAAAACTTAAGAAAATAAAAGTCGTACAAGTTGGCATGAAGATGTTAGATGCTTGGGATATCTTATTGTCAAAGTTAGAAGATTTTTCAGTTCGAGGTATAAAGTTCTATACACCTTCTCCAAACTTCTATTCTATCTTCACTGGATATAAATATGAACAAGTAGAATGGAAAGAAAATGTTATAGAAGCTTGGTTAGACCATGTCAAAGAAATTATATGCAATGGAAACGAAAGAGTCTATGAGTATATCTTATGTTGGTTTGCAAACATCTTACAACATCCAAGTGCTAAAAAATGAAACTGCTCTCATTATAATTGGAAAACAAGGAACTGGTAAGAATACTTTCTTTACAGATATTTTGTGCAAACTGTTAGAGGGCTATTCGAATCCGAATATGACAAACTTAGAAAACATCTGCGGTAAATTTAACTCTTCAATAGAGAATATGAAACTTATAGTATGTAACGAACTTCAAAGTATAGATACAACAAAGGTTTTAAACTCAGATGCTTTGAAGAGTCTTATAACAGACAAAGTTGGAGTTGTTGAAAGAAAATATAAAGACCAAAGAGTTTGTGAAAATGTTGCAAATTTCATCATGGTTTCAAACAATGCCGTTCCGATGAAGTTAGAAAGTTCTGACAGAAGATATGTAGTTGTCAGAACGTCAGATTCTCATATGCAAGATACAGAATATTTTGACGACTTAGCAGAAACTTTGACACCTAACTTTTACAACCACTTGTTCTCATATTTCATGACATTAGATATTTCTAAGTTCAATCCAAGACAAATTCCACATACCGAAGAGAGACAAACATTGTTAGAAGCAAACAAGAGTGTATATGAACTGTTCATAGATGAAACTGACTTTGAGTGTTTAGATGAAAGGTCATTGTACGATTCGTATAAACAGTATTGTCAAGAATATGGTTATATGGCAGCTTCTAAACGAACATTCTTGGCAAATGTCAAAAATCTTTTAGATGTTCAGAATGGCGTATATACAAAGAAAAATTTTTCTGAGTAAATTTTTAAAAAATATATATTTTTATTTTATTTGAAATGTACGCCGAGTTTGTTGGAAAAGACTGTTGGAAAACTTGTTTGTTAGATGAGAAATATGAAATTCACTGTTGTGAGTCATTTGAAGTCAGAAACAAAGAGACAAAAAGAGTTTTAAGCGGATGGGAGCAAAATAACGGATATGCGCTATTCTGGTTAGATTGTCCTTATGAAATGTATGAAAAAAAGGCTTTATATGAAGAATATAGAAAATATTGTCATGAAAACGATATAAGACCAAGCTCTAGAGAAAAATTCTATGCTGGTATAAAACATCTTTTCGAAGTTCGGAATGGCAAATATAGAAAGAAATAATTTTTCTGAGTAAATTTTTAAAAAAATATTTTTTTATTCTGAAGAAAAGATGACGAAATATATTTCAGTCAACAAGTACATGACAGAAGTCAAAGAAGAACTAGACCCATTCGCTTATTTGAATGTTTACTTCTACCATTTTGAAAAGTCTACATTTGACAAAGTTTGGAACATCGAACCAGTTAAGTTTGCTATTGTGACTAAAAATGGTGCGAAATTTGAAGACTTAGACATAGAAGGTTTGTTAACAGTCAAGGAAAATTTTGACAGAAGGTTTTCAAACCTTAAAGAAGGCAAAGCATACAAACTTGTTATACCTTATGAACCAAAGAAAGCAGACGACTATGAATATTATGAGTCTAAGATAGTTGAAGTTCAAGGTAAATTGGTAAAAAGATTTTAGAGTCTAAGCCAGTGTTTGCTCCTAAAGAGGAAGAGAACATTGACATTGACCCAGAAATGTTCTAAAAATAAAATTTATTTTTACATGTCAAATTTCTTCTTCTCTGGCATTGGTTCTGGTTCTTTCTTCTCTTCTTCTACTTTCTTTTCTTTCTTCTCTCTCTTCTTCTTCTTTTCTGGTGGGGTTATGTCAAACTTCTCAGAACCATATTTTTGTAAAAGTTCTTTGTCCTTTACTAGCTCTTCTATTCTGTTTTCTATTTCATCTTCAAGAACAGCGCATGTGTCTTCTTTGCATTCTAAGAACTTTTGTTGGACTTCATCTTTCCAATCGGCGTCATCTCTGTCAACAAGTCTGTCATTGACAAATTTTAAGACTGCTCTTTGTAATGTTTTATGGTTCTTGTCATATTCCCAGAAACAGAACTTTAGAACAAATTCACCTTTCTTGTTTACACTATGTAAGATTTTATGGTCGACAGATGTTTTGCTGTCGAAAAGTTTGTCTCGAATATAGATAGCGAAATCGCTAGACATTTCCAAAAAGATAAAAATTTTAATTTTTCTAAAAATATGTTAGAAAAAAAGTTTGCTGACATTGACAAGAAATTTGAGAATGTTTTGAAGAAGAACAAGAGAAAGTTAGAAAATGCTCAGATAAAACCCATACATGACAAGTTCTTATTTGCTCAGAATGGTATAACAGGTCTAATTGCACCACCTGGGTCGGGTAAGACTTTCACTTATCTTAAAATGGCTGCACAACAACAAGAACTAGATGAGAAGAACCCATTCTATGAGTTAGTAGTCATTTGTAGTACTTCTGGTCAATTTGACCAAACCGTAAATTCGTTCAAAGATATTATAAAGAAGTCTAAGTTAGTATGTATAAAAGACTCTGAGTTGTTAGATTGGATAAAGAAGTACCAAAGAAGAGTTTTGAAGTACAATGCTATAAATGAGTATGTCAATTCGAAGTTTAAAGACCCAAATGAGGAAATGCAGAGAATATTAGAGAAGAAACACTTCAGAAACAAACAGAAAGAGATAGAATACATTTCGAAGAAATTGCAATC